TGACACAGATTCAGTCAGGCTAAACATCCTAACCACAAGTACTCATTTTAGTCTGCTCTTACGCTTGTTTGTTTGTTTGTTTGTTGTTTAACGCCGCACTCTGCAATATTCCAGTTTTATGACGGTGGTCTGAAAATAATCGAGTCTGGACCGAACAATCCAGTGATTGACATCATGAGCATCGATCCACGCAATTGGGATACGATGACATGCATCAACCAAGTCAGCGAGCCTGACCACCCGATCCCGTTAGTAGCCTCTTTCGACAAGCATAGTCACCTTTTACAGCAAGCATGGGTTGCTGAAGACCTATTCTACCCCGGATCTTCACGGGTCTGCCCTTACGACATGCGCCGGATGCTAGGGCCCTAGTCTGCTCCGGTATTCCAAAAGACTCTATCAGCACAGGATATTTCACGCGCAAAGAGCAGATTTAATCTCCAGTAAAATATTTGAATCTCACTGTCGTGTGCCCGTTTTAAAGCTTCTAAAAACTAAAGTGGCGTCACCCACTCACTCTAGCATACTGAACGTACACAACGTTCACAGTCTCGAGATGTTGCCGGTGGGGTAGCAAGGTAGAGGTCACGCCGTACTCTCGTCTAGCTGACGCCCGTCATAAAGTATGAAGCGTGATTACACAACAGCAACACTAGGTCTAGGTTGCCTCTGGTAAATTATGAAATTTGGAATCCCATTTCCTGGTTAAATAGGCGGTCACGTGTCATCGTGTTGGTTGAATATGCTTCTCGATATCAACTCGACGACTGGCAGTGTGATACTCGACTTCAACTCGGGTACTGGATGTGTGATACTCGAAATTCGAGTGTCTCTGGTGTAGGGCTGAGACGAGTCCAAATTTACTACCCGGGTACCCACCCCACTATTACCCGACCCTACACGGGTATCGGCTGTAGGTCTCAAGAGATAGGTCCAAATGTCCAATTGGGAACAGATTGACCGTAAAAACAAAATGACTGGCAAAATGTATTTAGATACTCGTATAAAACGAACTTGTCATGCATACACTGAAGTTGACTTAAGTTTTATCTTTATTCAAAAACATAAAGTGAGAAGGAATGTGTGGATAGTCAGAAAGAAATGTTAACATTTGTGACTAGTAGCGCAACCATGGAGTTCCAGATAAGTTTGCCATTAAACAATATATCACGTGACTAACCACGTGTCCGGGTAGTCCTGTGGGTACCTACTCAGTACCCACCCGACCCGAGTACCCGAGTTACCCGTCCCAGTCCTACTGTGGTGTGACCTCAACTCGAATACCCGAGGTGTAATATTCGACTCGGTTCCAAGTACTTGTAAAGGCCAAATCTTGCCGTGAATGAACACTTAGGCGAGAATTTGTTTTGTTTTGTTTGTTTGTTGTTTAACGCCGCACTTAGCAATAGTCCAGCAATATGAAACATAATCGGGGGTATCTGGGATTCGAACACACGAAACCAACACGCCTAAAGAACGTACCTTTTCACAGTGAACTGTGTGGAGACCAACTGTTTGTGAAGTTACATTGTTTTGTTTGTTGTTTAACGTCAGCAATATTCCATCTGTATACCGGCCGTGTATAATCGAGTCTGGATCAGACAATCCAGTGATTGATTACATGAGCATCGATCTACGCAATTGGGATACGATGACATGCATCAACCAAGTCAGCGAGCCTGACCACCCGATCCTGTTAGTCGCCTCTTACGACAAGCATGGGTTGGTGAAGACCTTTTCTAACCCGATCTTCACGGGTCAATTAAGCTGGAAGCCACGGGTCATTGCACTCAAAGAAAGCATCTGTACCCAAGGATTGTCCTCAGGACACAACACACTTAAAAAAAGACTCATACATTTGAAGAAAAACGTCAGGATATCGTATAAAACCTACAATGTGATAGGCTTAGATTTTAATTTGTCACGAAACAGACCAACACTGTATTCTGTATTTACAAGAGCGTCAATCTGGATTATGGTGATTCGAGCACGTATCTGAAGGCTCTTAGTGTATCGTGATGACATCAGGGTCAAACGAGTGCAAAGCAGGCAAGGGTTCAACGGGAAAGCGTCCTAGATATTTAGATTGGCACGAATACCGGAATCTTAAGAGGCACAAACTCGGAGACCAAGACGTACATTATATTACAATGTTTGTTATCGGATAATAATGTGTCTGTTCCGATACAACGTGTTGTACTTCATGATCTGTTCAAACAGAATGTAACTGAGCAGTTGGAAAAAACTATTCAGAATGAATTATGCTGAATATGTTTGAGGGAAATAGGTTTCAACGATTTTGTTGAAAGCTGACACCCATAAGCTATATCTATGCTCTTGTATACTCGAGTTGGATGACCGTTAATGCTGAGAGATCAGCAGAGTGGTGTGCACGGTTGTCCAGTGTTGCTAAATGACCAGCTGGATGGTGTGCACGGTTGTCCAATGTTGCTAAATGACAAGCTGGGTGGTGTGCACGGTTGTCCAGTGTTGCTAAATGACCAGCTGTGTGGTGTGCACGGTTGTCCAGTGTTGCTAAATGACCAGCAGAGTGGTGTGCACGGTTGTCCAGTGTTGCTAAATGACCAGCAGAGTGGTGTGCACGGTTGTCCAGTGTTGCTAAATGACCAGCTGGGTGGTGTGTATGGTCGCCAGTGTTGCTAAATGACCAGCAGAGTGGTGTGCATGGTTGTCCAGTGTTGCTAAATGACCAACAGAGTGGTGTGAACGGTTGTCCAGTGCTGCTAAATGACCAGCAGAGTGGTGTGCACGGTTGTCCAGTGTTGCTAAATGACCAGCTGGGTGGTGTGTATGGTCGCCAGTGTTGCTAAATGACCAGCAGAGTGGTGTGCATGGTTGTCCAGTGTTGCTAAATGACCAACAGAGTGGTGTGAACGGTTGTCCAGTGCTGCTAAATGACCAGCAGAGTGGTGTGCACGGTTGTCCAGTGTTGCTGAATGACCAGCAGAGTGGCGTGCACGGTTGTCCAGTGTTGCTAAATGACCAGCAGAATGGTGTGCACGGTTTCCAGTGTTGCTAAATGACCAGCTGGGTGGTGTGTATGGTTGTCCAGTGTTGCTGAGTGACCAGGAGAGTGGTGTGCACGGTTGTCCAGTGTTGCTAAATGACCAGCTGGGTAGTGTGCACGGTTGTCCAGTGTTGCTAAATGACCAGCAGAGTGATGTGCACGGTTGTCCATTGTTGCTAAATGACCAGCTGGGTAGTGTGCACGGTTGTCCAGTGTTGCTAAATGACCAGCAGAGTGATGTGCACGGTTGTCCAGTGTTGCTAAATGACCAGCTGGGTGGTGTGTATGGTTGTCCAGTGTTGCTAAATGACCAGCAGAGTGGTGTGCACGGTTTCCAGTGTTGCTTAATGACCAGCAGAATGGTGTGCACGGTTTCCAGTGTTGCTAAATGACCAGCATGGTGGTGTGTATGGTTGTCCAGTGTTGCTGAATGACCAGCTGGGTGGTGTGCACGGTTTCCAGTGTTGCTAAATGACCAACAGAGTGGTGTGCACGGTTGTCCAGTGCTGCTAAATGACCAGCAGAGTGGTGTGCACGGTTGTCCAGTGTTGCTGAATGACCAGCAGAGTGGTGTGCACGGTTGTCCAGTGTTGCTAAATGACCAGCAGAATGGTGTGCACGGTTTCCAGTGTTGCTAAATGACCAGCATGGTGGTGTGTATGGTTGTCCAGTGTTGCTGAATGACAAGCTGGGTGGTGTGCACGGTTGTCCAGTGTTGCTAAATGACAAGCTGGGTGGTGTGAATGGTTGTCCAGTGTTGCTAAATGACCAGCAGAGTGGTGTGCACGGTTTCCAGTGTTGCTAAATGACCAGCTGGGTGGTGTGTATGGTTGTCCAGTGTTGCTGAATGACCATCTGGGTGATGTGCACGGTTGTCCAATGTTGCTAAATGACCAGGTGGGTGGTGTGTATGGTTGTCCAGTGTTGCTAAATGACCAGCAGAGTGGTGTGTATGGTTGTCCAGTGTTGCTAAATGACCATCTGAGTGGTGTGTATGGTTGTCCAGTGTTGCTGAATGACCAGCTGGGTGGTGTGCACGGTTGTCCAGTGTTGCTAAATGACCAGCATGGTGGTTTGTATGGTTGTCCAGTGTTGCTAAATGACCATCTGAGTGGTGTGCACGGCTGTCCAGTGCTGCTAAATGACCAGCTGGGTGGTGTGTATGGCTGTCCAGTGCTACTAAATGACCAGCTGGGTGGTGTGCACGGTTGTCCAGTGTTGCTAAATGACCAGCTGGGTGGTTTGCCTCATTTAAACAGGATATTTATCAGAAGTGTCTGAAGTTACTAGAGCCTTGTGTTTGTTTACTGCCACTACATGTAACAAAAGGAGCCTTGAAACGAAAAAAACCGAAATTGTCTCTTTGTGTACTACTAAAGTAACAGCGTAGAAAGAGAAGTAATATTGTACGCAGTTGTAGTGGTGGTTAACGTGTAGAAGTACTACTGCCACTTGTTGTAGCCATTTGTGTCAACGATAATGTCTCTTCTACGTATCTCAAACTGTCTTGTCTGTTTGTTTCTAATTAAATGTCTAAATCACTGTGTCTCATCTATCAGTATGGATAGTATCTATTTCTATCATTGCCCAGTCGTCTAAGGCGCAGCGATTCGCTGTACAGAGTTGCGTCCCTTGGCCACGCCAGAAACCTATGATTGTGGGTTCGAATCCCGGTTCGTCCCAATTATGTTTCTAGGTTTGTCAGCACCATACCCGTGCTCGTGGGTTTTACCGAAGTGGTAAACGTCTGAGACCTGCATCACTTCGGGCTTTCCTCCCACATTAAGCTGACATACCGCGATATAACTGGAATACTGTTAAAAGCGGCGTTAAACCAAACTCACTCACTCACTCACTATTTCTATCAATGATAGTGTCTCTTCAACACATCTCTATCACAGCGGTCAACCTATGTATATATATCAACGTGTCTGATCTAAGTATCGCAATCAAAGTGTCTCATCTGTTCCAGATTGTGAAGACATCCGGGACCTGGGGTTCTCCACCAATGGGACCTACCACATCAGACCAAACGGTTCCTCCATCCACTTCACCGTCGTGTGCGAGTTCCACGCCACCTCCGCGTGGACCCTCATCCAACGTCGGTTCGACGGCTCCCTCAACTTCTTCAGGAAGTGGGAGGATTACAAACACGGCTTCGGAAACCTTACCTCGGAGTTCTGGCTGGGGAATGAAAAAATCCATCTCTTAACCCGCCAGAGGGCGTACGGGTTAGGTATAGACATGTGGGACTGGCCCGACCCCAGCAAGGAGGACGATGTGAGTGCGCACTACTTCTCCCAGAGTAGTTACTTCCGGGTTGACAATGAGACATCTCACTACAGGCTTCACGTGCCTCAGGACTACTTTTCTTATACGGGTTTTGGCGGAAGTGGACTAAGGGTCCATGCGGGGCCTTTTTTGACCTACGACCATGTCACAACGCGCATGCGTGGAAACTGTGCAGTTAAATTTCATTGTGGTTGGTGGTTCTCTACGTGTGTTCGGAACGCCAACTTCAACGGCCGCTACTACGACGGTGGGTACGAGAACGTGAACAGCAGGACCAGATCGAGGGATGATATCTATTGGCCAAACATTGAACAATCCTTAAAAAGGACGACACTTAAAATACAGAGGGTGAACGAAACAGTTGTAGATGTATTTTGGTAGTGAATGCATGAGTTTATCTACATCCGTCCGTGAAAGGTTCTTTTGTATTTTCCTGTATGAGTGTTATATGTATAGCAAATAAATATATCTATATTATACCCTCCCCAGGAATACGTTATTAGAAAAACATAGTATTTATTACCGAAATAATGTTGTGGTCATAATTATTAATTTATCGACAACAGAACACAAATAATAATAATGATGATGTGGACTTGATGGCTTCACACATACTGATTCAGCAGGTAACGAAAGAGACAGACACAAAAACGTTTACTTTCCTTCTCAAACCGCTGTGTATTTGTAATGGGGAGATAAAAAACCAGAACTTTACCAAAATTAGTGTAAAGAACACAACATGTACAAGGCACATTTCTTGAACACATTAAACTTGTTTGATATTTTTTTATTAAAAAAATCCTTCTTCAGCAAAAATAAACACCAGCACACATTAAATCATGATAGAAAATGGAAGGAGTGCTTCTAACTATTATACAACATGATCACAGAAACCGTCGTTTTTTGAGGATTAAAACAAATTATGGAACGATCGTTATAATTTATGTGCCAGATTTTCGTTTCAGAATATCTATATTCTGTGGGTAACATAACTCTTTTTGTCGATCAATTCGGGATTAGCACACAACATATATTTCGCTTTCATTACACCTCTAGAATCACAACTATAATCTCACAGTTATTTCTTTCAATTCAGTTTTTGAGTTAGCGAGTATGATCACTTGACCTGAAACAGTATTCCAGCTCTGTAACGTGATGAAGATGCTACCTCTCATGAAACACAAGGAGACAGGTATTTAGTTTACAGACCAAGGATCATAATCAGGCTGAATCAGCAATTCAAACACAAGATCAGCGGATCCTGATATTACCATGATATTACCCAACTCTGCACCACGACTTGCTGCGCCTAAACTTGATAGTGAGTGAGTGAGATAACCAACGTTTCTAACACCATGCCATGGCATGTCAGTTATAGAGAACAAGCCACAAGTGATGCTGACCGGAACCATTTTCCATTTATAAGTCACGAGCACGGATACAGTGCTGAAAAATACAATGAGAGAGCGAACGTATATTTTTATTGTACCTTCTGGTCAGGAATGGGCTTTGTTTCGCAAAAATAAACAATCTATTTCTGATCAATAATTGCCTTCAACAGACTCGATAAATTACACAACACTTGTTTCTGCAAAGATTTGATCTCCTTGCCGCCACATGTAATCTGAGTTATTACCTGCACACATGTTTTCCATTCATCGACAAGTACGTGGAAATATTAATGTTATTGACTTTGTGCAAAAGAAAATATTTCGCTGTCGATCATAACATTACCAGCGACAAAAATCCTGTTTAAAAATAACGTGGCATGTGTGCACAGTATATACCTGCAATTAGCATAATTACTTCCTAGATACTCGTCAAGAACGCTTCCAAGGATGACATAAACATGCATATAGACTGTTCGCCCCTACGCCGCAGCATGGTCAAGGACACCGCCATGACCTTCACGTGATACTGTTCATGTTAGCGGGATGTGATTTATTTAATGGAACTGAAAGCAAGGGCCAGGTGGTCCTATCTTAAATAACTCCCAGTTGGTGGAACTTTAATTGACCTTAATAGCAGTCCCATGTGTGACATGAACATATGTGAACAGTTAAAGGACAGTTAAATCAATTAGTCTCAAATAAACTTCTTGGACCGAGATATCGCTGCGAAGCCCAAAACTGTTTGACTGATGATTCAGATTATTAGCGAAGAAAGGATTCGGCTCGTATTCGTGATTTATGTTTTAAAGATTATTTAGGCAATTAGAAATATTTATTCGTTTTCGTCTGAAATGTCGCCTCTTTCAGAATAGAACAAACCTCTTTCATATTTAATTACTAAAATACCGAATAAAATACTCTGATTTTCTTTGGATTGCCAATACTGTATTATCGTCTATACTATGTTTTAAGACAGTTCAGGGAAAATATTACATCCGATGAACGAGTGATAGAATTGTGTGGTCTTATGTTGTTTTTATTGGAACAGCTCCGAGGTTTTAAATTATTAAGCGATAAAACACACATAAAACCTCCAACAAGACTCGCCAGCAGGAGATAAAAAATGTGTTTTATTAAGGTCTAGTTGTTATTGTTGCTGTGAGATCTAGGGTTTCGTTAGTGAATATGATCATAAAGAGCGAGATAATTCTCACCACTGAGGCGAGTGTGGAGTTTGTTTGGTACCACTCCCCTACTTGTTTCTATTGTTTATTTGTTTGTTTGTTTATTTGTTTGTTTGTTTGTTTGTTTGTTTAACGCCGCACTCAGCCATACTCCAGCTATATGACGGCGGTCTTTAAATAATCGAGTCTGGACCAGACAATACAGTGAGGTCATGAGCATCGATCTACGCATTTGGGATACGATGACATGCATCAACCAAGTCAGCGAGCCTGACCTCCCGACCCGTCTCATCTTTCAGCAAGCATAGATGCCTTTTAAGTACAAGCATGGGTTGCGGAAGACCTGTTCAAACCCAGATCTTCACGGGTGGCTTGCCACATGTAAGTCATATCACCGTACTCTGAAGTTCTGATTTCAATAATGAAATTGTATGGGCTTTTTGTCGGTCAAACACCAATATGTGCAGAAAAGAAATACTAGCTGATATACTCACAGTAGAGGAGGGTGTTTTCTCGTCCAAAAGAAAATAATACATTTAATAACAGTAATTTTAGTTATAACAAGTTCGTTATATCCGTAGTTCGTAATATATCTCGATATATATATGATAAGTGAAAGAAGTGTAATGCAATAAGTGTTATGTACGTAGAGATACATCAATACAAGACTGTATTTTGAAGTACATCAATACAAGACTGTATTTTGAAGTACATCAATACAAGAATGTATATTGAAGTACATCAATACAAGACTGTATGTTGAAGTACATCAATACAAAACTGTATGTTGAAGTACATCAATACAAGACTGTATGTTGAGGTACACCAATACAAGACTGTATGTTGAAGTACATCAATACAAGACTGTATTTTGAAGTACATCCATACAAGACTGGCCACTCAGTACTACATATTAAAGTAATGTAATGTATGTTGAAGTACATCCATACAACACTGGCCACCCTGTACTACATATTAAAGTAATGTAATGTATGTTGAAGTACATCCATACGAGACTGACAATTATGTGGGCGAGGAACCAGTTGATAAATGTCCCGAACAAATGTTACCCCCTTCAAGTCAAAGACCTATCGTGCCTTTGATCTCTGTGATGACGGAAATCTGCCTCAGTGATCTGACGTCGAGGTGGAACTTCTTAATGTCCTATCAAAATGTCAACCGTAACACAAGTCGAAACAAGACTTCTTGTACAAAGAAGGTGCAGGTCTGTGATTCTGGAGATAATGGCGACTCATACGGGGCAACGCTCGGTTTCCGGCGAAAAAAGTTCAAAACTGAATCTGGCGAATATATAACCCTTTCTTTTCATGTAAGGTGTGCAGATAAAACGGGGGCATGCTTCTGCCAGCTTCTCGCTGACTAACAAGCATCCAGGTGTTGGTGAAAAAGAGAAAATTTATTATCACTGAACATGCCATTCCCGCCAGTGCTAGCAATGCCATTAGCATGAAGAGTCTCCGTGAATTGGAGGGAATAGACCACACAGGGTATATTACACCACTTCATGCAGCTATTTTAGATTCCCTAAAAAGTGAATTAACGTCTTAACTGTAGGGTATGTTGTACTATTGTCGACGACTCAGATAGACTGGTTCTTTCGCTTTATAACCAAGAGACCTTTCGGTCGGATCCATAGTGAAGCCTCGTTAACGTAAAGTTTGACTTGGTTTGTTTGTTGTTTAACGCTGCACTCAGCAATATTCCAGCTATATGACGGCGCTCTGTAGATAACCGAGTCTGGACCAGACAATACAGTGATTGATATCATGAGCATCGATCTTCGCATTTGGGATACGATGACAAGCATCAACCACGTCAGCGAGCCAGTCCACCCGATCCCGTTAGTCGCCTTTTACAACAAGCATAGTCTCCTTTTACGGCAAGCATGGGTTGCTGAAGACCTATTTTACCCCTGATCTTCACGGGTCTAATTCACAGTCCCCCCATTCATGTATATATGTGTGTCGATATTATGACTTATTATAACTTGCGGACCGGTTTTTAATAATTGTATCGCTTTTAACTGTACCTGCCGTTAAGGATTCTTCCGAGACCTGTGAAGTTACATCCTCTTAAATGACATACGTGTCGAGATAATAGTTCGAGTTGACTATATTCACGGTGTTTGGTACGTGGAGTAGAATGCATAAATTGATATATTATATAAACATTTGAACTTGAACTCACACTGATCTATTAGAGGGTAATACTAGGTATACGCTTTGACCGTGCATATATGGTGTCGGGAGCTGACACAAAATGGAAATATGATACAAGATGTCGAACTCTATAAAAGTGGACTAATTAGAAAATCATGTTTGTAAGGTAAGGCTTTAGCGTAAGTACATAAGCAGAAAATATCAGTATAACAGATTCCCATGTAACTATATCAATACATTGTGAGAAGTGAGTATCAGCACCAAAGAAAAATGACAACATATCTTCTTCATCTTATAATTCCAACTTGACATAGGTTTCAACATCAAGCAGATCAATAAAAGTTGAAAATAGTTCATTTCTTTCCTGCAGTAGAGCTTCACAATGTAATATGATGTGATTATCATAATCAAAGGCATGCTTGTTACACAATAAACAGTCCCTGGAAGTTTTGTTTCGTGATGAAACTCTAACACAAAATTTCAAACTTGACCTCTGTTTCTGGATACAGATATGCTAGTTGCCATAATATATGGTGAGTAAGCTTTGTGTGTATTAGCATTAAGCGTGAAAGACCTCTATTGACAGAATCTTTTCTGCGCCACATATTTTCTTCATAAATGGTTTTATTAACCAGTTGCTTCCAGTTTCTCTTTGTATGAAATACACCACAGCTTACATATGTACAAAGGTTGTTTCGTAGGTTATACTTGTTAAGAACTGATAATAAA